GCCGAACGGAAGTTACTCTTTTATTTTCATAATTTCCACTCGATTTCAAAAAACGTGTCAAATCGGCTTATTGGAGTGACTAAGATTTTTCCTGACATCATAACATCGCGTGTATCGATTAAAACAGTAACATTTCAAGGATTGTGCCTGTGTGACATTCCAAGAGTATTGTCAATTGAGCCAAAATATGCAAGAAAAGGCGATGAGCTCTGATTTTATCCCTTGATTATTAAAGTCACCCAGTCTATACTTTCTAAGCATTACCTCACGAAGAAATGTATGGTACATCGGTGAAATTTATGTGGGAGTACACACTTACAAACAGTTTTGTCATTAGTGAACGGCATGAGTTGGACATACTCATTAAGATAAGACAATAGAGTTGTTGCTTTGAGAGAACAAAGCTCTCGACATTCAGTAGCTGTGGAGCAGCTCTCCCGAGGCTTGTGCAGTCGTTTAAAGACTATCGTTGGTCTTGCTTCTTGTGATCATTTTGTTTTACAGTGATTTATTTTTCAACAGACAAACCATACGCGTAGAGTACGGGAGATATATGCGATGGAAGGAGCACCAGCCATACGTTTCAGTACCGAGATGCAGCGTATCAAGAAAGCGTTTTGTGCAGTCAACATTTTTTTTGTGGTTAGAAATGTTTATATTAAATTCATTGGAGTTGATAAAAGTGTGCTTGTATTACGTCATCATGAGTACTTTTGCTTTTTTGTAAATACGAATCATGTCCTTAATACGTTTACACTGAGAGAGAAAAATAATAAAAGTTCCTGTGCTAGAATGGTAATCTCGTAATGTTCAGGCGTCTAGAGACTTTTTACTGTTGGAACAATAATTTTTAGTGCTTAGAACAGTCATTTTTGTTGTAAGTACATTGATTTTTACTGTCTGCACAATAGAAATTACTGTCCGGAATATGGTAAAAATTAGGTTGGCCAAAGTAAAAAGTTCCTAGACGTCGGAATGACATCAGGTTACCATTCCAGCACAGTAATTTTTATTATATTTTTCTCTTAGTGTATTTAAAAACCAACTAGGTGCAAAAGATCGAAGTATGTATATACACAGTCTCTCAATGCACGTATGTATGTATGAACGTATACATGTATTTATGCATGTAGGAATGTGTGCAGTTAAATTTAAATTCTTTATCTCACTGCCGTAAAACAGTGGTGTTTGAAAAATTGTAGAACAAATATGAATGCTTAACAATTGAAAATGTAAGAAAAATGTATAGTAAAACTTTGTCAACATTTTTTTTTTCAGATCGTTGGCATACTGATAGTATTCATGGGTGTTTCCTTCTACAAAGTAAATCCTAAATACGCCAAGTACTTGGGCTCATACTACTTTTTTTCTGCCAACCTATTCTTCATAGCTGGATTTGTTATTATTTTTGTAGTCATTTGTGGGAGCTATGGTGTGTACAGGGATAGTACCTGTATTATTTTGACCGTAAGCATACATTTATTAACTCGTGTCTCGTGGGATAATTTTTAACGTCTAATAACTATTTTCATTATATTTTTACGTTATCCAGTTTGTGAATTTACTGATGGCCATACTCATATGCGAACTTGTGGCATTAGTATATGTCTATGTTTTAAAGGACACTATTATCCAGTACAGCAATGAACAAATAAGAAATGCCACTCAGCTACACCACTACGATACTGAATACATTACGCGATTGCAAGACGATGTAAGTAAAATCTGACAATAACCAAACCATTTCATTTTAAATATGAATATTGTGCTTGTAATATTACATTTTTATTGGTAAAATGATTCTTTTCTTTAATTGCATGGTGCTGAATAATTTCTTTTTTATGAATACGTAGGTACAATGCTGTATTTTCAACAAAACGGTTAAATGGTGGAAAATTACGACGTACGAATCTTACTTGGAAGATGATTTTTTCTGGCAATGTAGAAAGAAGGGATATTCTGTTGTAAACAATTGCCACCAAAAATTGGCTCGTTTCGTGACAAACAGTGCAGTTTACGTAATAACCATAGGCACGTTATATACTGCTATTCAGGTGAATATAAACAGATTTTTAGTTATTAATTATAACGCTAGCACACGGTCTTGTTTTATTACAAGACAAGTTGGAAACTAAGGTTTAAGCCCAATGAAATTCGATTCAAAGTCTCATCCTTAATCACAGAGCCACAAGTTTCTACACAAGCCTAAAAATTATTTTATTTATTTACACGTGGTACATGGTGATTCAAAGTATTCAACAACAATATTTTTTGCAGGTTGGAGGTATATTCTTTATTTTTAAGCTGTTACATCGATTTAAGAAAGAAAAGACACAAGCATCGTTGGCTAATATTCTAGCTATTTGATCAATTCGTAGTATAATTTCTAGTTATATATAAAAAATTTTTTGTGCTGAAAAACTGAAGATATTTGCATGAAGAAGAGACTGGGATGCATCGAACATTTTAATTATAAGTGACTTCGTCGTTTAGTGCTATAACATGCGAGCAGATCTCTATAGTGGATATGTGTAGTAAGAACAATTTGCTGCTCACTGTCATAATAATTTGAAAACTTGGTAATAAAACAGTGATTATAAAAGTTAAAATACCATTAAAATATCACGAAAAAAAGAGTAGCGCGGTGGATCAGTGTGGAAGCTAATTGACAAACAATAGTGACAATAATAAGAGCAATATGAATACAAAACACACAAGTTTTTAATAAAATAACTCTAACGATAATAATTTAACGAAATAACTCTCTTAAACCACCTTAAATGACTAATTGTTGAAGTGCAATTCAACTAAATGTCTAGCTTATTGTGTTGAATATATTCCTGTGAGTTAGTATACTCGTGATTATAATTGTAAGGACACGAATTTTTAAAATTATTTCGAAGATGATAACAACAAACGCGTAATGGGAGGAATGTCGATGCTTCGAAAGTTTGCTCCGAAGCCTCTTCAACAAAGAAGTCACGTAGTTTCTATTACGTTGTACCATCCAAGGCGTATACAATCCAAGACTTTTTGTCGTTTTCCTTGATCAATAGGAGTCTCACGCTTCACCGTTATCACCATGCACAAATATTCAAAGTGGAAGAAGAGAAGGAGACAGGGACGTAACGATCCGCTGGGGCCCGCTGCAGCGTTGTAAATTTTAACGAGATTTTCGATTCACCGGGTGAGCAAGGGGTGCAGCACAGTCGGCTCGTTAAAATTCACTCATGCCGCTGCTTTTCTCCCTATGATGTTATTGACAGTTTTCAAAGGCTTTTACATTTTTCTAGAGAAAGAAATTATAGCGCTCCGAAGCGAGAGTCGACTTGTTTTAGGCGCTCCGTCAATTTTTTTTTTTTTTCCGTGAACAAAAGGCAGCATACGCATTTGAGATCGTGTGAATAGTTTGTACGTATTGTGGTGATGAATAAAAATAAGAAGATACGTGGGACACGTCATGACAAGTTGTCAATACACACATACATAGAAAAATGGAAAAAGATACGTTCATTAAAAAAAAAAAAAAAAAAAATAGAAATTGAAAACTTCCTCTCTTACACGTAGATGCACATAATTTTTTATCGAGGTAGGTACAGGGACTTTGCTCGACTGCTTGGCTCTTGGAGCTTTGTGTGGTTAAATATTTATCTCATCTGATATTTCTGGTATGATACTCATTATTGATTAAAGTATAAATAATATTGTTCACACGAAAATTGAATGTACCAATGGATTGTATGATTATGTACTGTGATGCTTAAATTGTAATTGCCAAATAACCACGAATCCTTTTCGTTCAAAAGCCTTATAATTAAATAGTGTAATACATCGAATAATATGTACAAAAAAAAATGAAGACGTACTTGAAAAATAATTATCATTATGTGTATTGCATAAATAAAAAGAGTTTTAATAGAATAGACAAATTTATTATTACACTTTTTTGTGCTTGAGTTATTTCACGATGTCTTTTTTCCTTTGTTCCCTTTTGTATGTAGTGCACGTCTCAAACATTGTACCTATCCCATTTACGACATGTACATTCTACCAACTGAACTACGCCAGCCAACACGTACAATTCCTTTTTTTTACTAATGAAAACGTGCATCTGGCAATAACTTTATCCCATTCCATACCCCACTCTCATCAACAACCACCCTCCAGGACAATGCATTATTAAACATCTACAGAGGTACAGAGGCACAAAAGGTAGCTATATGCACTATTCGATCAATCATAATAATGTTCTCGATTATATCGAAGTTACTCCTAGTCGAAAAGAAAAATCAACCCTCCCTGGGTAATGTACTTCCCCATAAATACTCACCAGTAACTTGTCCCCTCCAAGTGTCAAACAAAAATAAAACCTGATCTCCTCCCGAACGGCCCTATAACGTTATTATCCCGAGCTTGGGATTCAGTCACGCCAGTGACATGGATTCCGGGGAAATTGTGCCTAATGTACAATATGTGCACCGTGTGAATTCTGACTTGAATTATCAGTGCGAGGTGAAGGGAGAGCCTGTCGAAGGTACCTACGCGTCGGATTCGAGAGCTGATGAATTAATAGAGCCCGCTCGCCGGTATCCCAGTGCTCGCACCGATTTTACTATTTCATGGACCTCTCTTGGGTGACGGGTCCGTACAGCGGTGTTGTTCCTGTGAGCCACTCGTGCACATGAGGTTGCGACAACAAAGTACGAACGCGCCGGTTCAGATTAGCTTTGCGGCTAGATTGGCGCCCCGAGGATAGTTGGTGCTGTTGCTTTCACGAGAGCTTCATGCTAGATTATTTCTCGATGGCTGTGGGCGCTAGGGGGGATAACCGCAAACGGTGGATGGACTTTTTTTTCCTGCAAACCTTGACATTGTACTTGAATGACGTATACTGTTTGGATTGATTTTCGCTTTTGAGAGAAACAAAAATGATCTTTCACGATGAACTAAAAAGGAAAAAAAGGAGATTCATTGGTCTCGTTGTGACCAACGTGAATGAACTAGGGTGTGATTTTCTCGCAGTCCCTCGTTTGGAACTGTTTGATCCTGGCATTCAATTTGGTAATGGCTATAATGGCTGACATCAAAGACAGACCCTCGCCAACGAACCATTCATTGGTGTAATTAGGGATCGTTTGATTGTGGAACTGCAGAGTTGACGATTGTCAGTAAAACAGCAATAGTGCGGTAACGTCGTTAAACACAGTTAATCACGCATTGCTTTGTACGAGTGGTTTTTGCACATCCAATCCCTTATTCGAGCATGCTGATTAAAAAGTACAAAAGACTCCCCCGTTTCGATGAAACGTAAGTATTTTCCAAGTTTATTAAAAGGAACAGTAAACTAGGGCAACATTTGTATTCTCGGTCGCAAAAATACTGGAGAGATGGGTGGCGCGAGCATTGTTATCATTGAAGTTGCTCAAAAGCACCTGAGACCAATTTTTTTTTTTTTTTTTTTTTTTAGAATCTACAAACTGCGCTCATTTAAATAATACCGCATAACAAGCAGTGTAGCAGCGAACAAAAATGCAAATTGCTGTCAAGTCCCGAAAGCGCCGTTAGGCAATCCATTTTTGTGCCACCAGAACGTGGTTGTTGCTACGATACCAAAGAGTCGAGCAATATACCGAAATTTTACATTACAGATGTAGCAGTAGAAGGTCCGTCTTCCCCGTACGAAATTAACATTTTGAATATGAAAGAGTAAATAAAGATGCCTGCAAGTGTCAAGAAGCAACGAGAAAAAAAGGAAGTGAGAGGATTTTGGGAGCTTCTTTTTACTTATATTCCTCTTTCTCATAAACATAAGATGGGCCAAGCATGAGAAGCGGGGAGGAGAGGAAAAGAAGTTTGGTAAAGCACAAAAGTGAAACGGGACGAGAAATTGGCGCTTCACTTACGAAAAAAAGAAAACCTAAAGTTCAGGGCCGGATGTGAGGGGTCACGAGTTAGATTTTTTATGTTAACGAGGCAAGTTTTGTTGATCATGTGTTTTTTAAATGTTTTTCGTTGTTTTAGATTTGTTTACTTTTGACTTTGTTCATCAGCCCAATAATATGAAAATACATATCTACAACATGCATGATTGAAGAAAATAAATAAGAAATAACGACTGTCAAGAAATTTGTTTTTATATATGCTGCTCCTGTAACACTGTAATAACTTTCAATAAACTCGAATTTTACTTTTTTTAAAAGTTTTGGGTAAGTAAATTATTCGAAATAGTAGAATCAGTAGAAAAAGCTAAGTTTAGTCGGACATTTTACATTTGGCCTCATCTGAATTACACAATCCAATTAAAATTCACTCCAGGTATGATATTTATATTTAGTAGCAACTGCAATTATTTCCAACTATAAACTCAGCCACTATCAGTAGAAAAGTCAGAGTTGGGTCAGACACATAATTTCAACTCGAACGTGCAATTATGATTCAGTTTAATTTTTTTCCAGTTAGATTTTCGTACACGGTTCTCACTAGTTATCAGAGAGTTTTATAATTCTAATAAAAAAATTAAATATTCAAATTTACTTTAAACTACTCATTTACGAATCATAGGTATTGAATTTATCAATAGTGACCAATAAGTCGTTTCCAGTCTTAATTCTTGCTGTAGTGTGAGGTGTGTGTTTACTGCATCTATATGTATATAAGCTTCTAAGTCTATGTGCAATAACGGAAACAAATTTGAATGGTTTTAACGTAAAACAAAAACCGAAATTAGTAGAACGATCAAAGTTTAACCATACATGTTATTTTTACCATAAGTCAATGATTACAGTCGAACTACAATGTTATCCAGTATGATATCAAAATACTTAGTGATTGCAATAAATTTTATTAAAAACTTAATTAGTATAAGTGAAAAAGATCGTACATGTAATTTTTATCGAAAACGATAACCACAATTCAATACCTGCAGTTAGATTTTGATAAACGCTTACTAAAAAAGAGTTATACACTAGTTTGCTAACTTTTACATAATGAAGAAAATGAATATTATTTCCTAATCTTTATAACTCACTCGTTAATCATTAATATAAAGTTTATATCTGTATGTGATACACAATTTTTTCAATGACTTTAACGTTGTATAAAAGCTGAAGTCAGTAGAAAAATCAAAGTTTAGTCAGCCATGCCATTTTTAACAAATTCTACGTACGATCGTTATTAAAAGCTATTGTATCTTAATTTTTAAGCCTTGACAAATTCCAATGATTACTATACAAATAAATGTCAAAATCAGTAGAAAAAAAACAAAGTATTGTCACCCATGAAATTTTCACAAAAAATTTGCCAAATCATCTAAAAGTTCCTCAATGTTGAAATTATTGTTTTTTTATAAATGCTTATATGCAATGCATAATCCAAAACCAGTAGAAAAAAACTTGTGTTTACACCAATGTGCTATATTTGGAAAAAAGGTATTAATTAAAGTAATATTTTTAAAGATTCTACAGTAAAAACTGAAATTAGAAAAAATCATAGTTTGGTCAGTCACTTTTGACTTTTCATGCTTTTAATGAAACCTAATCATCAAATATTTAAGAATTGTAAAGATTATCATTAAGAGCCAAAGATAAAATCAGTAGAAAAGTCAGTGCTTGGTCAGGCATACCATTTAAGTAAAAAAGGGAAACTATAACTGAATTTAAAGTTTTAGATTGAAAAAAAGATATGTGAAAAACTAAATTTCCCATAGTACCAGCATGAAGTTTGGTTCAATTTTGTTTGATATATTTTTCAAATTTCATACCAAGTTAGTCTAGATTTTTGTAAAGTGAAAGAAATCAGAAAGTTAACAAATTGTTATAACCAAAAACTTTGTAGATGTTGCATAAGTTTTTCATTCCCCCAAAAACAAGCCAAACGAAGCTTATCAATCACAAGATAACTTCCTTAAAAGATGAAACTTCGTAAGAACTTTCAGTCTTTTCAAAGTTTACAAAAAGTTGTCTAGTAATCTTACTAGAGAAGCGTGCCTCTATGTCATCATTAATGCTTTCGATCTTGTTTTGGTATAAACCTAATGCATAAACGAGACACAATTATCTCCCATCTACATCACAAAAAATAACTTTACAAGTCACGGTAGTACGTACTTAATTTTTTTCGTACCTTCATATTTTAAGTTACGAAATTTCAAATTAAAAAGGATTCAGCTAGCAGACCGATCGTTCCCGTAAATTGGATCATTATTTTAACAGAGACTTCCATCGTTACAGGTAACTAGTTGCGATTAAAAGCATCAAGTAGTGGCACGGCAACTCGTCTCTAATGATAAAATTTATCCACCAATTTGCTGAACTAGAGTACTACTCATCGTGGTGCCAGTACGCGTACATTATGCGCATACAGAGTGCAGCTTTTATACGGCCTGCAGCCGCTGATCGTTTGCACGTGTTTATTAACATTGGGTTAATGAGATTTGGTTGTTGTTAAGATACACTCTGATTATTCAGTATAACAAAAAAAAAAAGAAAAACAGAAATCGAGTATTACAATCAACTGAAATTTAATCAATGAGGTATAAGCAACTCTGTACAAATATTAAATGCTTGAGGATCGGTTTACACTGCGTTTGCCAGCCATCGACACTAATTGCGACCACAACTGTGTACGGATTGGTATTGGCGTTTATTAAGGAAAATACAAGTATCTGCCATTAAACGAGCTCAATATCGACTACTACCAGTATGTTAAACAAATGATACTTTATTGATCAAAAATACTGTAATTAAATTAAAAACACAATAAAAAAAGGTCATACCCTGGTCTAGCATAGACCATAGCATACAACGTGTGAAAAATAAGCCAGTAAAGTGCGAAAAGCAAAACTCTTGCATGAGATATTTTTTGTGTCAATGTTATCTCTCTGCTCAGCTGGAATGGGCAGCTCTGCCGTGCAGTCATCTGCCCTTCCCGTTTTCCCTTGACTTTTTTACTCCCATTTGTTCATGACCGGTTCTATAACTTACCGTACCACTTATAGTTACCGCGACAGACGCACCATGGTACGAGAGAACGATGTTATACGCAGTCGTTGAGCCCATAAAAATCCCATGGCTGCAGTCACAGCGACAACTTTATAGGCCGCTGGCTCTCGAGGGGGAAAAAAAATACCCGAACGCTGGGCTGCAGTGGACACGATGTATGAGAGTGATGTAACGAGGTGATGTATATGAGAGAAGTGGACAGGGAAGCTGAATTAATTTGTTCAAAACGAGGTGTAGCAATTACGAGAACTATTGCTGTTTGTCACGGTACATTTGTTTCATTTGTAAGTTAGGTTGGCGTGCGGGCGTGCTTTGATTTTCAGACTCTGGTCAAGTTGCGTTTATGAGAATACTAGACTGTATGCGGTTTAATTACCCGTATGTACGAGTGGAGTTAATGAGACTCTTGGTGGTAAATTAATTCTTATAACGGGAGAGTGCGTACGCTGTCGATTATGTTTTTAATGATATTCATGGCTCACGTATACTGGTAGCAGTATCAGGCAATTGCTAAAATTTGTATTAAGCTCGTGCTTGAATTATTTAGTTCATTGGCAGTGGAAATATCAATTAAAATGTCTCATTAACATTGTTAATTGATTTTATAATGATTTCACTACGAATTGTCGCTAGTTTTGCTCTGCGAAAGACTTGCGTCGTAATTTTCTCAAGCTTGATTTGATAGCAACTTTTGAGCAACGATAAACTTTTAAGCTTTTCACAGTTGAGTTATTCAATTTTTCTAACTAACGAGCTTAAATTCTTTTTAGCCCCTGGGTAAGTTGTAGTCGTATCGATTTTACTTTTTGCAGGGCAGAGAGAGTTGGGTGAACAAATTTTTTTTTTCCTTCGTGGGCAGAGTTTTAAATTGTTTTACGTTACTTCGAAAGTCAGACTAACTTCGTTAGGTGGCGTTTTAAAAACTTTTTTAAATGACGTACACGCTTATTAAGTAATTTTTTTGCCTTTTATGCACGCTTTATTCCCACTTTAAATAACATTGTCAACAATTCAACAAAGTTTCGTGGTGATGTTTGTTTCGATGTTATACATTTTTTTTATCATCTCTTGATCATTACATCTAAAATATTTTGGTCAAACGTATAGCATGATATTCAAAGGGAAAAGTAACATTCTGATGAACAAAAAAAGGTCACCGATTTGTAAGTGGTGTTGAATACGTAAATGTATTTTTATTTATGAATTACCAGTTGTTACATTTTTCATCGAGAAAGATATTTGGCATCGTATCGTGAAGCCAAGTTTCTTTTTTTTTACTGTGTCAGTTTTGACGTTACTAGCGTTATTAATATCAAATACAGTGAAATAAAATTGTGATTTACATACAAATTTCAAGGAACAACCCAGTTTTATTTGAATTTTTTAACAAAACTAAGTAGACTTCTACTTTAAAAATAAAAAGCCGCACCCAAGTGTTCATATACAAATTAAAGTAATTTATGAATTGGTTTATCGATAATTTTTAAATCAGCTATTTTCACGCATTGAAAATTATTAAGAAATGTTGGTTCATTACTATTTCATAAGAAAAATGAAAAAATATTTCTGTACTGTAATGCTGTGAACTAATTTTTATTTAAAAGCCATCATTTATCATCAAATAATAAAACGTTGAGTTTATTCTACTTATGCAAAATGTGAATTTTTAAGTACTCACGTACCACGTAACTGGTATAATGCTGGTTTACAAAGATAGCATGAGTATACACAACATGAAAATTTTTTATTTTTATTTCTTTACTCTTTGAACACCAGCTACTTTAAACCTGATTATAGTCGGACATCAAGTATAACAGATCAAACAGTGGTCAGACGGCCGTCTTCGGTTGAATCTCATTATCGCACTCTTCGATCACAACCATATAATTAAAAAACAAAATTATCCATAGTTAGTTATACTTATGTCTTACCTCTAAATGGGTGCCAGGTCAAAAAATCAATAGCAGCTAAATAACACTAATGGAGGAAGAAAGAGGGGGCCAGCGACGTGCATGCATTGAATCGAACCAGCTATTTCGCACCACTGCCACCGCTCTGTACTGCTGTTTCTCCATCCTCTTTTATATATATATCTTTTGCCTCCCGCTGCACACTCGTACCCCCTTTATATCGATCACTGCGCACAAGCCCGCAGCATCCCCGCGTCGCAGACCTGTATATGTATGGATACGTGCGCCTGGAATGTGTCGTATATTTTCCTCTTTGTGTGTACCTGTACTAGGAATTTACAGGCCACGTATCTTTTTGATTATCGGGCGTACCTCTTTCTTGGTATGCTGAAATGGGAGGCGATGTTACATTATTAAAAAAAGAGAAAAAAATTATTATTTAAAAAAAAAAACTTTTCAATCATTGGTGAAGATCAAAAGTTTTTTGGACTATGAAAAAAAACTTGTGTCCGTTAATAAGTTAGAGTGGAAATGGATAAAAATTATTGTTTAATTTAGTTCAGTGTGCTTCTGAGCGTGAAGGTCTTTGCTTTGACAAATGTTTGGACAGGAGCCGGGAGAAAAAGTTTGATGATTCGTCGGACACTGAATTTGCTTTACGTGAATTGTACAATTTGTTCTGTCTGTTTTATCGAGGTATTGGATGCGAAATGGGATCTCGTCAGTTCCAACAATTTTTTCTCGTGATTCAAGTACATGAAATATGAATCATTTACTTTTTAAGCTATTTCAGTAAAATCTACATATTAAAAATATGGGAACGTAACAACTGTACTTACGTTTTAAAATAATTTAAGTTTCAATGATTGTTGTCATAAAAAGTTTCTTTCTATAATAGCTACACGTTTTATTTAACATGCAGTACTTTTTTAATTCTCGAAATTTTACACTCAACAATTTTAATTTTGTTCCCATGTCAAAGTTTTTTAATACATAATCGTCAACTTTGATTGAAATTAATTTTGTTTTTTATAGAGGAAAATTTATGTTAACCATGGCTTTATTTTGTTCACAAATTTATGTTACCCCTTAAAATGTCAGTTCTTGTACTTTTTTATTTTTGACATCTCCAGTTTTATTATTTACGTTCAACATTGAACACTCATTGAAAAAAAAAAGTCAACCAAAGTGTCTGAGTAACGTGAACTCTGCTCAAAGTAAACACCGACGACGTTAGTTTCAGCAAGTACCCAAAAGGTTTATTTTACCTCCTCGTGTATTTGCTCGAGCTTACAGCGAGTTTAATTTTTGATCAAAACTCTGTCCTCCACTATCGCACGTGCAAACGTGTACTGTACGTGTTACGCGTTACCATATCTACTCGTATCCACTTGAAGGAGCCCCGTAAGCACCATGAAAATGTAATAAAGTCTCTGCTCCTCCTAAACGCTCGCTATTTAATAATTCCTGGAAAATATTCAGCCGAAAAATTCAACCCGTCGTTCCTTAAAAATTCTTTGGGTAACGAGTTCTTTTGACTGATGCACTGCTTTGCAAATGATTTTAACTTGCGCACTTACACGTGCGTAATCAAAGTCAACTAAGTAAATTTTTTCGACTGTGCACGTACATTCGTTGAAAGCTCATCCCTCCTTTTTCTTTCTCACTCTCTTAGGGCTACAGTGACGTACAGAAAACAAGTCAACACAGCGCAGTGGGTATAACTTGCTTGGCTGGTATCAAATAAACTTTCGTGCTGCCGATAAAAAGCTCGAACGTGTAGATGTACATGGAAGGAACGTCCTTGAGTATCCGTGTATTCATGGGATACCACAGTATTTTTTTATTTTTTTTTCTTTACTTAAGCAGGCCAAGGAACACAGTTGCTCAATACTACAGTGGCACGAGTTCGGAGAATAAAAAAACATGTTTATGTTGAAGAAACATGTTTATTTGAAACTTTCTGACGCCCACCTCCTGCTCTATTTTGGAGAAAAAAGAGGCGCTCACCCGCTGTGCATCTGCAGATTTTTTCATCCAGGCTTGAGGAGACTGAAAATGAACCGAGCCCCCTTTCCGCGCTAGCATAGGCATCTCGATGTTCCTGCCTTTTTTTTCGACATCTCCGTCAGTTTGCACTCGGTGGGTATAATTCAACTCGCAGAAGTCAGAAAAAAGAAGGCAAGCGAGCGAGAAAAAGTTGGCAATGAAAAACATGACGGCTGCTCCAGAGGGATCCTTCGCTGACTTTTGCTTGGCTTTTGGATGCATTGGTGAACCAGCTCGTGCATACCTGTCGTCGTAGGACTTTCAGCCGAATTTGGAGAAGAGGTGATGTTACGATGGTCGCAAGTTAATTACAGCTCTATTGATATTATATCTACCGAGGCAGAAGGAGCAGATGATGGAATTGTGAATTTGGGGACAAATTATTATAATTATTATATTAATTATCATCGAAGAAATAGTAAAACAATTTTTGCTAATTAATTGAATAAACTTTTATTAATTCGAGCATAAGTTAAGCTTCTATGCACAAAGAGATATTAACATTCAAATATTTAGCTTTTTTAATAAAATTCAACAATCATGAATCACTTTTTACTGTACAAAAGATATCGATAGAAAAATTCTGCTGAACATTTTGAGGAAAAAAAAAATAGACATATTGATAAATATATTAATGTCAATGAGTTGGATATTTTTATATCTCTTACTTAAACTGCAACTTTCGATTTTCTTTCGATTACTTTTAAGTAAAGATGTAGATGGTATCTGCTCATTGGTGTCATGGAATCCATACAGGATTTTTTGTTTCAGCAGCGCGAGTCTTTTGACTAAAAATATTATCATCTTCCATGTCAAATATCGGTGAAAAAACGAAAGAGTCCACTGTTTTTCCCGAAGACCCATCTAAGTTTGGGACATTCGTTTGCCACTGGTGCATCTCTCGTAGTATTTTCTGTTTCCTAATCATACGGCCTAGCATGAAAGCCAATATTATCCCAGAAATCTGTGGATGAAGTTGTTACTTACGTTAAAAAAGTAGTTTTAGTAAAAGAGGTTTTTTTTTTTAATTTTTATGAATTGATATAAAAAATATCTCATTTTACTGGGTTGATAATATTTTGTTTACGAGTAAGTAATGTGAGTGAATAGTTACGTATTTACCTGAATGAGAATAATGCTTGAAGCCGCAGTGGTCAGGTATGATGCTCTATTTTTTGCGATTTTACCCAATTCTCCGAAACAGCCTTGATTTACCAAGTTATAGCACGAGAATTCATTTTCTTTGCAAAGCCTAGTCCAACATGGAACTCTGTAAATAGATGTTCGCCCATCAATACCTATCCAGTCATCTGGTCCGTTCCATCCACAGCACTGAAGCTATAAGTTAATAAAAATGATTTTTTCCATCATTACACTGAGAGAAAAATATAATAAAAATTACTGTGCTGGAATGGTAATCTGGTGTCATATCGCCGTCTAGGGACTTTTTACTGTGGCCCAACCTAATATTTTACCATATTCTGGATAGTAATTTCTAATGTACAAACAGTAAAAATCACTATATTTACAACAAAAATGACTGTTCTAAGCACTAAAAATTATTGTTCCAACAGTAAAAAGTCTCTAGACGCCTGATTATTACCAGATTACCATTCTAGCACAGTAACTTTCATTATGTTTTTCTCTCAGTGCATGACAGCAAAGTAAACAATTTTTTTTTATTGGTAAACGTTGCCTAAAACAAGCTGTAGTTGTAGAACCACTAGTAATAAAATATATTGTTAGCTTACATGACCCTGTAGAAAATCTACAGCCTTCTTAGCCTCGGAATTATTGTCATACTGGTGCATGGCATCACTGATTTTGCTTTTCAGGTGATCAGCAATATTGTCTCTGGCAACATAGAGAGCTACTGATGCCACAAATTCAAGTATGAGCACCGTAGATAGAAGAAACGCAGACTGAAAATGCAGCATTACAAGTTATTCTTTTCATTTTAATGTATCATTAAATTTATAATTTGTAAATCAGTGTACTCACAGTCAAAACCATGCAGGTGCTTTCTTTTATTACACCATAGCAGCTGAAAATAGATACGGCGATAAAAAACACTCCAGCGGTGATAAGGAGGACAATTGGTGAAATGTAGCTGGAGTTGAAGAAGTAATCGAACTGATTATGTACATCGTGTATGGCTTTGCTTTTCAAGACAATAGTTACACCAGTTAACTGAAAAAAAATGTGTAGTGGTGAAATTTAATTGTTTACTTGAGCCAGTAAATTATGCAAAGGCTTTTTTGTTATTTCAGTTGAAAGCTTCTTGGTTAAAGCCATTGTTACTTTTACATGCTTAACAAAATATCCGTCCGACGTAGATGACTCACGTATATCATTACAGTAATTTTATTATGAACATGTGTCATACGCTCTATGTGCCAACGTTGTATTTAAATGACGAATATTTATATAATCTCGTATCATACGATTCATTTATATTAACTTTATATGAATACCATTTATTTTTATCATGGTATCACACTTTTCTTGTTTACTGTTGTTTTAAGGATATTAAAACACATGTTGCAATACGTAGGTATTTGTTGTAATCATCAGCCACACTTTATTTATTTCACTAATTTTCAAATCTTGCAACCTCTTGTCGAAGTTGGTATCATATCACTTTTCTAAATATATATGCATTCAAAAAGTATGTAGAAACTCGTGGTAGTATACACCAACAGCCATGCATTTCTAGCACTAGTTATTAAAAATGCATTAATTATGAATAGGACTGTAATCTATAATTATAATTTATGTTTTTAGACACATTCAGTATGAACTTTAAAGGTAGAATACACGTTTTAAAGATGATTGATATCGAAATAACTCTTTTCAACATTTTTTTTGAAAAGTCTGTTGTTGATATTATTGAGTCGTCTTTCGTTTTAAAGAATAATGTAAACTCTTCACCAAAAACCAAGAAAGAAAAATGATGGAAATGTTTCAAAATGTGGCGAATATAATATTGTTTGAATACTAACCAGAAAACTAAAGTTGAGACTACAGAGCAGGAACTTGATCCACCGCATTTCTGAGTTGGAGTGCGTGGCTGGTGTTGGCTTTGACATCATATTTTCGTTAGTTTATTCGTACCTATAAATTTTTTTGTTAAAAATTTCACTTCAACAAAATTATTGAACAAATCTATAGTTCATAGTAACGATGATACAAACGATGAAAAATTGATCGACGATCGGTACTAGTCTACACCAGACAACGCTCTTTTGAGAACTGTTGTATACAGCTACTTCGATGCCGTCCGCCTATGACGAAATAACTATGACAACGATGATGTTATCTTAATGAGATGGTTCACTATTACTTGCTTACTTGCTTACTCCACTTATGTGTCAACTGTAAACATGTAAATACAATACTTACGTATGTGTTCACCCACACACACACCCAATAGTTAAAATTTCAATTATGCGCTTTGTTTTCCTCACACCTAGTCATTAAATTCAATAATTGTAAAAAAAAAAAAAAAAGTTTAAACAAGGAAATGAAAATGGGTGTAAAATAAAACGAAGTATACGTACAAGTGTCAATATCATTTTGTTTTTTTATTTAATAAATTGATTTATGAAAAAAATTTGTAAGAGCTACACTTGTTCCTCGGAAAATGCTGTTGAAGCTTTAAAAAGTTTTTTTGCCAAAGCTGGCAAAACTTTTGAGTTAGTCTATGGTGTTACTCCATGATGTAGCATTTTTCTAATATAAGTATGTTTGATCTAAAAGTAGTCAAAGTTGGTAAAGACAAGTTTCAACTCCAGCTCTGTTTGGGGCAAAAATATTGATTTGGTTGAAATTTTGGTGCACTTGACTGTTCATCAAATTATATGTTTTTGAAGCCTCGATTTGAATCTGTAAGTTTTCTCTAAATCAATATTTTTAACTCCAACAAAGATTGGATTAAAGTTTGTTTTGAGGTGCTCCCGATCTCTTTTGGAACGGATACGACAGCTTTGTATCCAGATGGGTCACAATTATTAGAGTCAAGTTTGTTAATTTTTACCGAATTTTAATACTTTTCCTACGATTACTTATTTGCATGAATCTTTTTCAGATTGTCAATCAAGTATGTGTCGCAAAAAGAGCAGCTAAAGTTAACTTCTTACCAACAAGACGAAAAAATTTTAGTTCGTACGGTTATATACCATGCAATATTTGTGATGTCGATTCTTTGTATCTTACGATTTTTTAAAGTTGTTAAGGCTGATACTTTGTGCAATTTACCATATTAAGCATAATACTACAAGTGTGTGAATGAGTTTGAATCTGAGTAGCAAACGATTTTCTTTTGATACTCTGAATATGAAGTCCAACTTTTGCACTGCCCAATAAAATGAGTACACGGAGGTATTTTTATGAAAGGGGCAAGTATACTTTCAATTTTTTTCAATCGATTTCAAGTAAAAATTACATTTTTCATTGATTAAACGGTACACCTAATGGACTGTTGTTTTCTGAAATGCCGATAAATAATTTATCATCTCAGTAACACGAATCATTTTACCAAAAATGATGTTGTCCTAAGTGATAACGGTAGGAGAACAGGAGAGGGAGGCTGCCTTTTCCAAAGGCTCATCCAAGTTTGGTAAGGACATTTGCATCTGCCACTTGCGCATCTCTCTGAGCGTCTTCTGTTTTCTTATCATACGTCCTAGCATACAAGTCAGGATTATTCCAGTAATCTGTAAAAAAATAAAAAATAAATAAACAATGCACCTTTGTAACTTGAGAAAAAAATTTTAATATCTTTTATATCTATGTATATCACAGTGTCTGTTATTTTCAATGTCAAATTTTTCTGAGCTCTCATCCAGATAAAAAGTTTTTATGTAGCCTAAAAACTAAGATGACTGTCTTGCAAAATAAAAAATTGTTAATCTATCGAGTTCTTCCAAGACCATATTGATGAAATAATCGTTTTCATTTGATTACATTAGTAACATTGTGTATTTTTTTTTTCAAATTAAAAAATTATTGTTTGATTGTTAAATTATGTTACGGGCAGTTAAAAAATAATACAACAAAAACACAAATTAATTTAAATTCCTAAATATGAGATCACGATTAAAAAACTGAAAAAATATTTAGAAAATCGAACTTTTTCATATTATTATTTACCGTAGAAAAACAACACGAAAACTTTAATTAATGCTATGAGTAAGAAATTTTTATCGCTAAAAAATAAAAGTGAAATCTCTCATTGCAGCCAAAAAATTGATAGTTTTTTATATACAATGTTTTTCGAACGGAAATCAATTGAAAACCTTGAGTCTTTTGTCTTAGGCAACAATGAGACTTTTCAGCGAATGCGAGCTTAAAAAGTTCAATTTATAAAAGATTGGACACCCAGCGTATGTATACACATTTATATTCACCTGCACAAGGGCAATCATAATAGCTGCAGTGATCAGGTAATCTGCGCTGTCTCCTATAAGGTCGGCCAACAGTTTGAAGCAACCAGGCTCGCGCGATTCAGTTAACGACCACCAAAAGCATGATGGTAGAGAGTTTCGAATACTTTGTCGTTCTGCAACATATTCCCAGTCCTCTGGTCCATTGTTACCGCAACAACCAAACTGTACACATTTTTTTTCATCATTAAAACACCGAAATAAACATACATATCGAATAATGAAATTTTCGCGATAGAATCATCGTACCACATAATGTTCGCCATGTATTTGCTTACCTGATCTTGTAAAAAATCCATAGCATTCTTAGCTTTATTGTCACTGTGGTACTGATACATGGTATTATTCAATTTTATCTTCATAATGTTAACAATGTCGTCTTTGTAAACATAGGCAGTAATTGATGTCGCAAATTCAAGTATGAGCACCGTAGATAGAAGAAACGCAGACTGAAAATGCAGCATTACAAGTTATTCTTTTCATTTTAATGCATCATTAAATTTATAATTCGTAAATCAGTGTACTCACAGTCAAAACCATGCAGGTGCTTTCTTTTATTGCACCATAGCAGCTGAAAATAGATATGATGAGAACCAATACGCCAGCAATAAAGAGAAGAGCAGCTGGTGAAACGTATCTCGAGTTGAAGAAGTAGAAGAAATTCTCATATAAGTCGAATATGAGTCCACCTTTAAAAATAATATTTACACCAGCCAACTGAAAGCAAAATGATTTTTTTTTTTGGAAAATGGAATTCTTAAACTTACAGTGATAAGCAACCACAGTTACAATTACAATTATGTACATTTATTAACATCTACCGCGGCAGATAATCTGGATGTGTCATTTAATTATGAACTCGTCAGAATATCGAGATAATTTCCTTATATCACGTATTATATTTGGAAACAAAATATTTTACGATAATCGAAGAATAAAAGTACACTTTTAACTTCTTTCTTCAACCTATACAATCTATTATACGAGAAATTTTCTTATACGGCTTACAGCCGATTTCTAGTAAAGCTGACTAAGCTCTCGACAAACAAAGAATTATTTGTTACCTTTAAAGGTACAAAGTAATACGATAGTCTAAAAGTAATGACTAATTAATGAAAATTGAAGATAATAAAAGATAAACACTAAAAATGTGCACACAAACTTTCTAATCGTTTAACCGTACAGTTTTTCAAATCCCTAACTTCCACCACATATTTAAATTTTATATGGCTATCTATTGTTTAGCAGATGAATAGAATGTAAAAAAAACTAACCTAAAGAGTACACATAAAATATGTTACGTTGTATGACGTCGTTTACCGTACGTTGCGACATTGTGACGTATTATTTCGATATACAGAAAAGTTACTCAGATGTACATACTAGCATTTTCATTGTTATCTTTGCAATAATCACCGTACAGTATTGAAATACTCACCAAAAATATAAAGTTAGCTACGCAGAGCAGAAACTTTATCCACGCCATGCTAATGCTGGAGTACGTGACATTTTCTTTTATTGCCATTGTATTTTCTTAACTGTATATGTATACACTATGACTTTTGTTAGCAATCAATGACTCAGAAGACAAAAAAAACAGCAAGAAGAAAAAGAAAAACACTCCAAACAGCAGTAATTTGACTGTACAAGGTGAAGACTTTGTGCGAACTGACGGAAAATAAGCACTTTTCTACTTGCGGCAACGTTTCCCGAAGAACTGCTTCGCAGCTACTTCGTCCACGTCTAACGAAATAACGATGACAATGACAATGTTATCTTAATTAGCGTACCTCAATTGTACGGATAACATTCGTGTTCGACTCATCATATTCATAGGTGTATTAACTGTAGGTACTACACGTACGCACACGCATACATTTAAACTAAAAGCCAAGACTCGTAATCTGTCATTGTGTTTGCTTCACACAAGAGGAAAGAAAGTCAATAGTTTTAAAATAAGAAAAAAAAAATCAGAAAAATATGAGCGTTTGCTTGTTATATTTATTCATTTTTCATAAAAAGTACGATCAACTCTCGAGACAGACACAAACGAATAAGAAAAACTTAGGTGTATCGTAAATTTAAGTAAAAATTATTTGCAGAGCTCCACTCTACAAATTATATCATAAAGACCGTGTTTGTAGTACATAAAAATTTGCATTTTATTAAATTTTATTAGCTCTTGTTTGGTGCGTTAAATCGATTTTTTCAGAGGTCATTGATGTAAGTAGATACAGACAAGTACGGTTGGGCTCACAACGTCATATCAATGAATCGATAGGCAGCTCACGGTTTTCAATAAACTTTGACGTATCGTAGACGAAAATTTTCGTAACGAAATACACGTTTTTAAAAATAATAATTTGGTTTCCTTAAACATAAAAAATTTTAACATTCGTTATTATGTATTGAAATTGTTGTAATTAACTCATCGATCTCACTATAAAGAGTAATCGTTCTCGCATCTTTTAAATTGAAACATTTTATAATCTCATTTAAGAGGCCTAAAACCATTCAACAGAAAAGCGTCAAACTTTTTATCGACTCATTTTATTCTACTTTTAATGAAAAGTTTTTCAGGATAAATTTAACACGTATTTCACATTTACCTACACTGTATCGACTGAAACATTCACATGCAAAAATACCACAAAAACATTATGACACAAAAAAAAAGTGGTGAAACAGAGAATTTTTGTTTACAAAGCGGGTCAGAACGTTCATCGAGGCTCTGCATTGTGTAGCTCCCAACACACAAGAGGAATCCACTAGCTTTGTAGCCTCACGCATCCTGCAAGCTTTTGTATCAAATTACATAAAAAGCTCGTTCCCTCTGAATACAATAAACGCTTTTATAATTTTTTTTTAAACCATCGAAAGGTAAAGAGATCAGGTGTAAAGTGTGGCGTACAAAATGTACTAGAGGGGGGGGGGGAGGGTGCGAAAAGCATTGCAATCAATCGATCGATTGAACAAATTTTTCTAGCAAAACCCCATCGATGATACGATTTTGCGTAGCAATGAGAACACGGAATATTTAAACAAAGCACAGGTATATCTCAAAAACTAATATACACAACGTAGCAAAAAATCTCTTTACTCTTTCGAAAAGCAATTGTCTCAAAAGAGCTCGCTAAAGGTCATAAGTTTCAGGGCCAATAGTGCCCTCTGCGTTTCCCACCCCTCGAATAATAACCATCAGCGTTCATTCACTGCCCCGACAATCAAACAAAACAGCCAATCTGTAATTTGATACATATGCGTACGTAATAATAAGTATACCCAATATCACTATGGATCGAAAAAAGCTGCCTCGGCAAAAAGCCACCCTACAAAGCCCGTAAGCACACACACACACACCAGAGAGAAAGAAATAAGCGCCACAGCTCGCAGTCCCCTTCTCTTCCCCCACCCGCCCCTGTTTCTGCTCGGCTGTCGCGTTTTTAGCATCAGCAGTGACGATGCGGAGCGAGAGAGAAAGAGATGGACGGAGCGCGAAAGCTCCACGCGGAAGAGGGAGAAGTAGGTCAGCTCCCTCTGCTCACCAGCCAGGCAGTAGCATTCTCTCCGTGGTCCCAGTCAGTCTCGCTCGGCAGGGGCTACGGCTCGTATCGCGGCTCCCTGTCCCCGTCGTATACTCAACGATTGTCGTATACTATCTCATCCAGTATCTCTGACCCGCATCGCTACTACCGAGTAGTCGTGAGTGCGTCGATCGGACGAAAAAAAAAAAAAAAAAAAAGAAAAAAATGAATCTCTTGCGCTCAATCGGACCAACGTAGCACGTACACACCAATCCCGATCCGTAAGAGCTGTTCTGGCGCGCAAGCTCCGCCGAGAGTGCCCGTCCGCGATTGTTCCTGCGCCGCGACAATGGCCAGGAGAGCGGGAAAGTAATACCCGCCGAGTGTGCAGCGAAGGAGGACTGGCTGGCGGGAAAAGCTGGGCATTGGGGGAAAAAAGCTCGGTGCACCTGTGGAATGCAAGCTGCTCTGCCATACGAGTGCTGCATCTTCCTTTTTCTTCTTATGCTTTTTGGTAACGGGTAAAGAAGCCGAGCGAAACGTGCTGGCCACTGATTGCGAGTAGTGGTGCTCTTTGGGCGATTGTGAGGGGACACAATAGCCACGATTCCAATACAAGAGAAGCACCCTTTGGACTCTGCGCGGGGGGGTGAAACCAAAAAGCTGAGTCTTCCACTCCGTTCTTCCTTCTCTATGAAAATTTTTTCCTCAACCGTGTGTAGTAACGACAAAAACGGCGTGACTGTGATTGTGAAATGCCAGCGCAGGTGGACGTAGGATGCCGCGTGGCGAGGAGCAGCCGCGGCTCAACTGCAGGCAGCGCGGCAAAGGAGAAACGGAGCCTCGTTGGCTTTCCATCCTAAGGTGATTGACCACACGTATGTCTTGATTTTTATTATTTAAGACCAGTGCCAAGATGATAATGACGAGGCTGCGAGGGGTGATCGCAGGCGCGCGATGACGCAAAAGTCGGGTAGAACAGAAGGGGGCGAGGAGCAGGGGTCCTGGGTAGTGCGCATGACACGTAGAGCAAGTGTGACGTAGGGGGGGGGCTTCTTCTTTTTTTTTCTTCCACTTTCTTTCTTTGCGCTTCCGAGGGCTTGTTAAAGAGGCTGTTGCGGACGGTCTCATGTTTCTTTCAGAGCCAGCAAGCGCGCGCCAAGGAGCCTTTCTTTTCTTCTTCCCAGGGCTGAATGGGTTTTCAGGGAACTATGGCGCGAGCTGGGACTCTCACTTTTTTTTTTTTATTCACAGGGATGCTGCGTAATGTAGCTTTCTTACCTTGACATTATGGATGAAAATTACCTTAGGGTCGGCGATAAAGGGCAAGGTACGACACAACTATTATGAAACTTCGCGATCGTTCAAAGTTGTTTTTTCCATATGACAAGTTGGAAACTAATATCACGTGTTCTTCGAACGCGAGATGAAATTATCATTGGTTCCTGTTGGGAGCAAGTAGTTGGAACTTAACTGTACGTTGCGTATCGATATTTCGGTCGTATATTGACTCGTAGCAATATTGAATCTCTTTTTTTGCGTTTTTGTTTTTTTTCGTATTCCAAGCAATAAATTTCCGATTCACAAATAATAGTAAGTCATTGCTTTTATCGAAACTGCAATATGCACTCAGAGGAGTGCAGTGCCGAAACTCACCTACAAAATATTTTACAATCAAAGTAAGGTGCCTCAAGGAAATAAAACAGCATGGGTGAATGGTAATCATCGCTTTCCAATACAAATCTTCGTATCATTTGCCTCCAATATTAATAAGTAAAGCTGGGGGAGAACTTTATCCATTAGTATTCATGACTCTCCATCGTGTACTATATTGGGAATGAGTTTTTCTCGTAAAAAAGCGGTAAAAAGTCGAGTTGCGGCTGAAAATCGCGGCATCATCACAACAGACTGTCCCAGCGTGGATGAAACAGCGTCAGACGGCCGGGGAACAAAAGCCCCCAAAAATGGATTTTCCCCGCTCGGGCTTTCTCTACAGTGTCTTTTATCGGCAGCTCCTCCGAGCCCAAGGAACGAGAACAAGAGGGAGAGAGAGATAGTGAGGAGGAGTCGAGGGGAGCTTCAGTGGCGTGCCGGCAATTTTTTATGCGGCGCTCTTTCAGACAAGAAGAGCGCTCCCCCGCTCTCCCGTCGCACGTGCACACACACACCCGCTCACACGTGCCCAAGCAAAAGTCTTTCTGACATCTCCTCGCAACGGTCGGACGCTGTCAGACGCATGGATGACGCATTTTTTACGGGTTGCAAGAAGAGGAAGAAGAAGATAAAGAAGAAGAAGATGAAGAAGATTCAGAAAAAGAGTACCCGTGAATACACACAATGTCGATATGTTTCATAGTGGTAGCGTNTTTTTTTTTTTTTTTTTTTTTTTTTTTTTTTTTTTTTTTTTTTTTGTCACAATTTCGCTACTGATCACTCTTTCTCACCGTTGTTGCTCCTAAACATCCCTGCAGCCTTTATGGAAGCGCGATGATAGTTAGTGCTTTTGATAGAGGATGAGCGAGCAATGTCTCTTTGTCCTCGCAGGGGTGGAAAAAAGTTGGCGGACGAGTGGCTGGGGTTGGTGGAAAAAAAATCGTCGGTCGTTTGCTCTCGGACTCATTGGCGAGGCCAAGTTGACTCGAACGAAAGCACCAGCGGTAAATCACGGTGATACCGCGGTGACCTGCGAAGATGAGAGATGGACCCTGGGAAGATGAGTCGGGTTAATTGATCTCGGTGGTGTTGATGGCTCTTGGTTGTTACGAAGGGGAACTTTTCAACTTTTTCTTTCTTTTTTTTTTTTTTTTTTTTTTTCTCTTTCTCGAGATGGACCAGCGAAACGAGATAGTGTCATCGTGACAAATAAAACTCGGGTAAAGGTACAGTTGAAGTCGCAAAAGGAGGAGCCAGGACGACGCGATCCATCGGCTTTAAACGGGTTTCTTTAAAATCCCTTTTCCTCCCTCGCTTTTGGCCGTTTCGAAAAGTCCGTAAAAAGTAGAAGAGTCGTAAGATGAGATTTCACATCAGTTGGACTTATATTTTCCGTTCGATAAATGGCCTATATAGAGATTTTTTTTTTTACTGAGCTGGCACTTTCCATGTACGGGCAAATAAAAATGAAAAATTTTTTCAATGCAACGGCTATTTTCTCCAACCTGGAGTCCCTTATGAAGAAAAATTTAATTAAAGCCCAGTCATCCTCTGACGCGAACGAGCAATTGGACTCTTCCAATACACCGGTGTCATCGCTGGCGTAGATGGGCACAAACGGCAATTGGTGCCGTGCAGTCGATGGAGGGAAAGTGAACAAAAAAGCGTGCCCAAAAGATACGTTTACTCCACTCTGGATCTCCCTTTTTTTTTCGAAATCGAGCTCGGAATCGGTAACTCTGCATGTCAGGAAGATTCGTTCGTCTGAAAAGTCCATTTGGATAGCTGTTGTAGATGCTGTCGTAAGGGTGTGACGGAAAAAAAAATTTGCGTTACAGAGCGAAAATACTAGTAGCCCCGTGGATAGGGAGTGGCGAAATTACAGAGGCACAGACAATACACAAGGGCAAAGAAAAGGCACGAGAGGAAAGGAAGCAGCCCTCGAGACTCGTGCGAAATTCGAGTAAATGAGACCGTCGTCGACGTTGCTGTGCGTCTGTACATACACACATCTGTGCAAGGGACGCAAATGCAAGCTTTACAGTGTGCACGGGGGTGCAAGTGACAAAGAAGGCGCGAGCTGGTGTATCCGTAACTTCTGCGAGAGAAAGAGATGGAGAGAGTGGGGATACTTATCTCGACTACACGTGCACGCGTGAGGGTGCGAGTATTAGGTACGTCCATTTTCAGCTATAATTCACGCGAGTTTGTGTGTGTATGGGAGGGGAAGTTTCCAAGGGACCAAGGGATTTTGTTTTCGAATTGAAAACTTTTCGCGGGAAAGTCAATTTTTTACAGCGTAAGCTGTTTCGGGTGAAACTGATTTTTTCCCTTTTTCGCTTTTACTTGGATTGTTAGTGATGATGCTTTTTTTATTTTGAGACTCACCAACGTATTACTTTGGATTGTTGTGATTATCGTTTGATAATTGTAATCATCGGTATTTGTTAATTTTTTTGATGCAAAGTATTGCGAATGAGGTCAAGTAGTGCGGAAAAAAACAGTCCCGACTCCTCCTCAAAATACTTAGAGACAAGCAACTTCATAGTTGATCTGAAAGGCTTCATTAAAAATATCATTGTCACCGTCACCCAATCGAGCGAGAAGGAAACCGAGCAGAGCGATAGTAATTTTCTAGCGAAAGCAGTCGATCTACCGCAAAGTTGAAGCTCTTACATCTCTTTTTAATCGTGTTAACGTAGTACGTGACCGTATAATTTAAATTTGAGGCTACAAGTGGTTTTACAGTCAGCCTGGATGGAATGAATGCTACATGTAGTTAGTGCTGATGAGTGTAAGGGTCAAGGCAAGGTTTCTACTTTACTTCCTTTTGAAGATTGTTTTGTAAATGAGTCAAAAACGTTTTATGCGTAGTACCAAAAAGCTCGGGGAACATTGTGGAAACTCTATGATTCTCGTTACTTCACACTTTTCGAAGTGAAAGATTTTCATCATTTTAACTATTTAATGAAAAAGTCTTAGTTTTCTTTGGTAATTGCATCACTGTTTTTATAAAATTTGGTTAACTATAACTTGCTCAGAGACTCGTGACTTTTCTTAGTTTTTTTAAATTGCTGTCATGTTGAAAGAAATAGAAAGATATAGAAGTATATCGTTATTACAAAATAGAAACATGTCATTTCGAAGAGAATACCAATTCCCCAGAGAGCTCCGAAAATAATTTCCCAAAGCACCAACAAGCCGGCGTCTCCTCCTTCTTCTCTCTCTCTCTCTCTCTCTCTCTCTCTCTCTCTCTCTAAAAAAAAAGAAAAAAAAAAAAGAAAAATGCCAACGCATCTCTTCTCGTCCCGAATCTCTCTTTATTGTCGTGATTGTCCAGCAAGCACGTACACGCGGTACATCTCCTCTCAGCATGCAGAAAAATATACCCACGGCAATCCATTCACCCACGCAAACCCAAGTCTTTGTACAAAAAATTCCAAAACCGGCACTACACTCGCTCGAGAGGCCCCCTTCCTCCCTCCAACCCTTCGTCCATTCGTTTGTCCGTCCGTGCAGCAACAGCAGCATCAGTGTACAGAGTCCGATCGACGACTTGGCTCCTTTCCCTCGGTCCTTTTTCCATTCCCTCCCACGAAGCCCTTTTCACTTCTTGATAACCCCAATTTACGACGTGGCTTAAGCTCGAGACTCCAACCTGCCTCGGTCGGGCAGGAACGCGAAAATATTACTCGGGGAAGATTCGAGAAACAGCACCCAGCATCGGCTCGTGTACGCGTCGAGGCGTATGATCCCTTCTCGCTCTCTGTTTTTTTTTTTTTTTTTTTTTTCTACCATGTACACGAACCAACGCTTTGTCGTTGTCCTCTCCTCTGCCGTATCTGTTCCTCACACTGCACCTGAATCAGCAAAATTATTCCTCCCCCCTTCGTCCTCTTTACCCCCTTTCGTGGAAAGAAACTTTTCCATCTGACGGATGAACTTTGGAGGATCTACTTGCCTGTTTATCCAAGCTGACATTCTCTGCTCGACTTATTGAATCGATACATTATCCTCTCGGCAGCTCATTTCATAACATTAAACTATTGACATAAATACCTGTAATAATAGAGTTGATTAATAAATCATTTGTTTTGTTTTGTTTCAGAAGCTGTTTGAGGATACTGGTAATCAAAAAACGTTGGATGGAAGTCTTCATAAATGCTGAAAGTTAAATTTCGATCCAAACCAGCTTTTCGAAGCACCTTTGACTGCACTTTTGTGGTGTTGTCCTTTTGAAATTCGTAGTTGTGAGTGATTTCGAGCAAGAGGAGGACAGCTTGAGGAGAAATGACACGATTATCCAGTATGAAAGGTAAGAGAACTTAATTTAAGGAGTATAGAGTATCAACATTACTTTTTGTTGTTAAATTAAAAGAAATCCCTTCCTGTATGAAATAACTTAACTACAAAATGTGAGACGCGGCAGCAGCGTGTTACAGCCCACCATCGAAGCGATCCATGGAATCTCAGTCAATAAAGTGGAGCTTGCAAGCTCTCCCCCATCTATTTATACACGCTACAGAGCTACTTTAAAAGTGCATGTGCCCGTGGTAGCTCGTGCTTGCAAAAATTCCTAGGAGACACGCGCTCGATGACTTGCCGGAATTCCAAAACACTGCGCTGGTAGCTGTTCCGGTATTCATGATTAAATTAGCCGCGGTGTTGCAAAGTAAAAGAAGCGAGAGAGAAGCTTTACTTGCTTGTGAAAATTTAAAATCACCTGTCTGCTTTTCTCTCTCTCTCTCTCTCTCTCTCTCTCTCTCTCGCTTCGTCGGTTTTTGTGGTGAAACTTGAAACGAGATATTTGCACCCTGCCCTGCAAGAGTAAAGTCGAGGGTTGGAAATTATTAATGCGCACGTCTTTTACTCGAGGTGCCGAGCTTTGTGCACAACGTCCAGAGGTTGCGTTTTTAAAAACTTTTTTTCCCCAGAAAAAAATGGCAGTGGATTGTTTTCTTTTTTTTTTTGGATTATTTTTTGGGTTTCGGGGGTAGCCGGGCAATTTAGAAATTCCTGGCTTCAGAGCCCGGTTAAGTGCTAAAGTGCCGTGGCTGAAAACAAAGGGCCCGGGCTCTTTGCGCGCACACACAATGGGTGGCCCCCTTTTTTTCGACACTTACGTCACTGTTTTCTATTTATCTTGGAACCAGATGGACTGCTTTGAGAAGTTAAAGCTGAGCCTTTTTTTTCACCCCTTCGCGTGACAGGCCCTCATGGATAGGTTTTTAAGCTTCGAAGTGTTACATGCTGTAATACTATGTACTCGGTTCAGCTCAAAATCTATCAATGCAATCAGCAAAAAGCTTGGGGATTATTTTCCATTTATTTTCTCGATTTATCCGCTACTTGTGATTAATACTTTCAAGCTTGCCGCGGAGAGTCTGGACCGAAGCATTCACTTAGCCCCACCTCAAGATTTCGGGCCGCACACGAGGCTTGGCCAACTTTTTCCATTTGCATCTGTTACTGCCGCGATTTCCTCCCCACAACTTTTTCCATTTAACAGCACTAGTCCCGAGTAAGCACCAACTACTGCGGCAGGAACTTTATCCCTCCGCGAATTATGTATGTGTATGTACGTACACACGCGCATGGAGCAAGTGCTCGTGTCCCGGGAAAAATTGTGACTGCGCCGCTTTGTTTCTTCCCTGCACTTGGCTTGCCCTCGTACCTCGTCTCGTTTGTATCGAAAAGTAGTTAAACGCCGAGGAACTTTTCCTCCGAGGATGCTCGCAAAGTTTCTCTCTGCTCCCTTCTCTGGCCATTGCATCGTGTGTCGGGCACAATGGCAGTTTCTGGATAAATAGCTCGTGAGTGGAGATTTTTTTTTATTCGGTGATTCGTTAAATGATGCTTTAGCTTGGTAATCGAATTTAGCTCAGCTATTCAAATCCAACTTATGCAAAATAACACTTCAACCGTTGTAATCTCTCGAGTCGCGGGTCTCCAAGTACACATATAGCTGTTTACTATAAAAAACCACCCTGAGTAACTTGAAAATTTTTATTTCCCCAAGAATATGTCGATAATTTAACGATGATTTTGTTAAATTTTATTTCCAACCGTTCAATAATTGATGGCTGTTAATTGATGGGAACTTTGTGTAACGCTTGCCTATGTAAACACGTACACAAATGCGTCACTGTCGCGTGATTATTACTTTTATTTTCATTTTGATCGCAAAATTAATCTGATGAATTTGAAAGCTTGTTACATGTCGATTAGCGTAAGTATCGAAATTCATACTGATAATTTTAAATTAAATATTATCCATAGCGAATTTCAGATACTAACGAGAAACATGTGCAATGACCTACAATTTATACAATGCACATCGAACAAATGTTTATTCAGTCCTTTATTAAGAGACAAACGAAACATTAATCCGATTATGATTGACGCATTGGGTAATGTGCCGTATCGTCAATAGAGGCACAAAAGACCATACGAACTCAATAAAACGTCATACAAGTACAGAAAGCAGTGCTAACTTGACGACGCCACGTTAAGCACTAGTGAAATCCAATTGAGCTGTCCGTCCATCTGCCATACGTATACACTTCAACTCTCAATTATTCACGCGCAATAAATAAACAACAACTCTCGAAGCTCGTACTCATCTCCGATCTCTATAATCATCACGTTTAATCGATCAGCCAAAGAGTGTCGAACGCAATGAGTCCTTGAATAATATTTATCGATGATGAATTTTCTCTGGAAAAAAAGCAATACCAATGATTTGGAGCCTCATCTCCACCTAAACAGCACAAATCGAGTTGCTCGAGCAACAGTCCGATTTTGCGTGATCCTTCATTAGTCTTTCGTTTAGCTCGTGAAGGGTAGGATAAAAAAATTGACTCGGAAGGTGGGAGCAGGAAAAAGAGTTTGCGGGTAAAAATTTAATTACTCCCAAAATGAGCTCACGGGAAAAATCGACCGGAAGCCCGTGGCTGCAGGTATTATAAAAGCGAGGCGGTCCGGCAGGTCTCGGGCGCTTAATTGCAAATTAGGTGGACCCTCCACCCTGACTCGATTCACCTAGCCTGGCCCCTACTGTGGCTTACCATCGTTACTCTTTTCTCCTTCTCTTACGTTCGCAGTGCGCTATCTTCATGTTTCCTCCATCGCCAGATCGATGGGCTCTACATTGTTTTAGTTTCCCGGATTACGCGTATACGCCAAAAGAGACGATTTTTTTGTGTTTTATACACCAACCTGCTGAGCGTGTGAGCTTTAGTTTGATATGGACGAAGAACTGGCCAAAAATAGTGTCTGGTATCACAACTGGACGCGATAAGTTGGATTATTAGAGCGATGCTTGTCAAAGCACCTCAATTGTTGAATAATAAACTCCGAATATTTGATACCTTTGCAAGTGATGGCGTATTGAGTGGTAACGTAGAGTATAACTGATTGACGGTGCGATTGTCGTTGAATTTTCATATGAAATATAAAGAAAATCCAAGGCAAACGAATTTTAATTAAATGTCAAGGTTATTCACTTCTGCATCAAAAAAGGATATTATGTTGCGTGATAAAAACGCAATTACCGTCGCTGTAATGAACAATTTTAATTACACCTCAAGGAACGTAACAAACCCCTTTAATTTTTCGCGAGTTGCACATACTTTGCTTAATTAGATTCAAAAAAAGCTCTGCCGTTAATTCACAATGTATTTTGCTACGCAGAAGAGCTCTACTGATCGACCTGATTTAACAACTCCAATCGAATCTATTAAACGAGTAATCTATTTAATAAGGAAAAAAAAAATCAATTTACTGCTCTCGATAAAAAGAACCTTTGGCTATTAAAAATCCAGCCTAATCGATAACGTGCATAAATATTCTGATTGAAAAGACGAAAAGAAGGCAACGAGCTGACAAAACGGCGCTCGAACAGACACCTCCTCAGCGAACTTCCGACAAAGGGTGCTGTCCCAAGGAGACAGGGCTACGCAGGTGTCTCGAGGAAAATCCCCAATAATTAAAGTCTCGTCTCCCCCATTCCCATGGCTACTTTTCAAAAGGGCTAATTTAAAAGTACAGTCCGACGCACACAAAGTTACCAAGGGAGAAGTTTCCGCTTTGCTTTTCCCGAGCTAACCTATATAGGCTATTACGTTACAATAACATTGCACGGGCAGCTGTGCGCGGCAAAGGACTACTTGAAAAGGCTGGTCGGTGAATTAATTTTTCATTTTAATGGTCCGAATTTTGGTGGTTAAATCGAGGTGTTTCATGGCCAAAAAGCACTGGCTTTCAAAGGGATTTAATAGTCATCTTTTCGAAATGTTCAGCTGGCTTTTGATCGTAATTCAAAAAGATTTTCTTTAATACATATATATATTGCTAAAAAAGTAATACATCATACCGTTGTTGTGTTGCTGATGGTTAAAGCTCGCCCGTCACTCGGGATGTCAGAGGCAGTACATACTTTTGCTTTTTTGAACTTTAAGTTTTTTTTTTCGATCCACATGCAACGAAACATAAAAGGAAAAAATATATTTATTTGCTGAAAATCAAAAAAAAATCTGGAACAATGTATGATTAGCTTACGGTTAAAAAAATTTTTTAGCCCATAAAATTATGAGCAAAAAGTTGTAAAAAAAGAGCTGAAAATACGAATAAGAAATTCAGCTTGTACAAGACTATCGAGAGCTTGAAAGGGTAGGTACTCGCTTCCTCGGAGGCCAACTTCCAACTGCAAAACTCCAAGTGCAGGTGCAAGGCTCGGCCGACTTCATAGATCAAGAAAGGAAGCGAGCGAGTAAAAGGAAGGAAGGATACGTACAGCTTGTAGATAGAGCGTCTTGAGCCGACAGCGCAAACAGCAAGTGTATACATGTACCAAGTGGTGGCCGAGTTAACGTACGTTGTAATCTAGTTAGTGTTACACAAGACGTGTATACATGCTGCAGATACACGACAGTAAATACAGTAGTGGCAGTAAGTAAGGGCATAATCAAGTATAGATCCGCGCTCGCCGTCGTGTATAATGCCTCGCATCCCAGACACGCGTCCCGAGATTAGGCAGTTGTTAACTCGGCCCTGCGTGTTACTGCTCCCTTCGTTGCGCCTGTATGGTGCAATGGTAAGTAGTGGGTTGTACTACCAGTAGTTCTGTGGGCTCGTATATACGCATACCCTGGCTGTAGTTTCAATTTGGCACCGTCTGCTGCTGCATATATTGTGCGGACGAATGAACACCCGGACGAGCTGTGCTGTAGTCATGTTCGAAAAGTCGAGGGACGAATTTTGGAGGCAATGCAACCCTTTTGGTTCAAATTTAGCATTTCTCAGCCCTTACGTGTG